CGCCCCACGCACGTCAACGCAACCACCTCAGCCTCGCCTAGTCCCGCACGGACTAGGCTTCGCGCATCTGCCCCCCACGCGCGCGCCATCTTGCGCGCTATTCTTTCGCTGCCGTCCTTGTGCGCGTATGCGCCCAGCACGCCTATGCCTTCGCGGTGTAGGACTCCCGCGTTTGCGCTACACCCGCGCGCTTTCTTGCGCGCCCGGTTCCAATCAATCCTCTCACGCGCGTGCCGTCGAGTGCCCGTCTTTCCGAGGACTCTGCCCGCGTGTACGCCCAACGCCCGCGCATCACCACCCGATCCGCGTCTCTCGCCCATTCGCCCATCGGCCACGCCTGTCCAACCCTCGTGTTCTCCGGGCTCGATCACCACTTCCGCATCATTCCCGCCCCCTTTAAGCACATCCTTGTCCTCAAGGATCGAAGCTATTTCCAAACTCTTCATTTCGGCTTCTCGACTTTTTCCTTTCGGTTTGGTTTTTAACATGATGAGTCGGCTTCCCGAGTAGAATTCCATTATGCCTTTCTTGTAATTTGTCGTGACTTCTCCAAGTCCTTCAAGCTATCGAATTCCAAGAACTATCTCGGGCCCCACAATAGGTAGTGCATAGAGGTCGGCTTTGATGATCTCACCTTGCAGGTTGATGGGCACTTCTCGATAATATTCGTGACATCTTAGCCGCTCTCCATTGGCAACCCTTACATCAAACGGTTCCACTTTCGTTTCCTTGAGCTCTAAGTCCTTAGGTATTCGGTCGCAAATGAAGTTATGCGATGAGCCAGTGTCGACTAGTACCTCGATTGGCCGTTCCTTGATCTTGGCGGGCAGTCGGATTGTTCTCGGTCCCTGTAGGCCTGCTATTGCATTAACCGAGATCTCCAAATCTTCGTTAACTTGCTGCGTCGGTTGGTCCTCATAGGCTTCTTCCTCGTCCTCTTCAATGACGTCGATCAGAAAAAGTCGTTTGCATTGATGGCCTAGGGTGAACCTTTCTCCGCATTTGTAGCATAGACCTTTCTCACGCCGACGCCTCATCTCTTCAAGCGACAGACGCTTGACCTCCGGGACTTGTGGTTGAGAGCTATCGGGCAGTCGATTGCTCGAAATCATGGAGCCCGTGCTCGTTTGTGTGCGTTGCGCCTCGGGAATGCGTGTGTCAGCCCGTACCCTTCGTGTAGCTGCTAGATGATCATCTCGGCGTCGAGCAACCTCCATAGCCTCGTGTATTGATTCTGGTCGCTCTAAGCGCACCTCAGCGGCTAGGTCGAACTTCAGCCCTCCTATGAACGTACTGACTAATGCAGTCTCGGGCCATCCTCGCACGCGACATGCCAATCGCTCGAACTCCTTTAGATAGTCGCGAAAGCTGCCAGTCTGCCGTACGTGTGATAGCGCCTTGATGAGGATCGTGTGTTTCGACTGCCGATAAGCCGCGAACCCGCGCCTTGAATCGCCGATAGTGTTTCTCAAGCCACAACCGCGCCTATTGAAACGATAAAATTGCAATAGTATTCTGGTGAAAAGACTAAAGCAAAGTTGGAAGAACAAAGTTCTAGATTTATTATTGACTTCTTGAAAGATTGAATTATTAAAAATAACATGGGGGAAGGGGCCTTTATATAGGCACCAACTAGATCTAAGTCTATTCTACTTAGGGAACTAATAAAGTAATAAAATATTAAGTATCCTAACCAATCTAGATATTATAATGGAACAAGGAAACTAAATAACTAGGGGATCTTGTGCCTTGACTTGCACTCCAAGTAGGAGAGAATAATCAGCTCAAAAGACTCCTAGGAAACTTCTTTTCTTGCCCGGCAAGTCGTCCCCGCGTGCTGCCCACCAGTT